ACTGTAGTAGAGCGTACAGCATGCAGCAGCTCCAATCGTAGACAAAATAAATTTGGTTCACTGTCTATGACATGCATTAATAAAACTCTGTATTCTGTTACGCCCGTTGTATACCGTTTATGTGCATCCAAATAAATTGGGTCCGTCTCCTCTCGTGTTCCTGTGCTTCAAAATTAGAACGAAACCCGGGAACGAAACATGCCAGCAGCAGAAATAGAACCTCGCGCGTGTCATCCATTTTTCGTTCGTAAATAGCGGCTTACCAAAGGTCACCGACTAATGGCACCCCTTAGGCCGTGCTAACGACTGGCCCTCCCTGTGCGTGGACGCAATTGGGTCTAGCCGAAATGCAAATATGCTAGATAAGCCTAAATCAGCTTAAATCTTAGCCCGTACTTCGTGTAACGTGAACACAACTATTGTGTCAGATAGCTACTGATAACACATCCTAACATTGCTTTGTCTTGAGTTTATCTTTGAAACTTATAGGCACACAGATTAAACCTGTGTTGTTGATTTTGGAAAACACTACTGAGGCTGCCTTGCTTCCCTTCAGAAAATCTACATTTTAACCAACTTACATGACATTCTATGTTATATTGACTTTATCATATGAAAGTTTATGGTGCATTTCATCAATTAATAAATAAATGTGAAAATCATAATTTTCAACACAAATAATAGTCTCGCTACCTCAAAATCCAATTTGTGGTTTTTTATATATCAGTGGAACATTATGCAAATTAGGTAATATCCAATTAAAACTAATCAGGTGTCTGCATAATCCTAGAAGATCTATGTAGCAAGTCTCATTGAAATATGATGATTACTACTTGATATATCAAAAGCTGAAAATTAATTAATTATGCAAATTAGGTAATTAATATGTACTCATATTACCCTAAAAACTATCAGGTCTGTGCAGTGTTCTATGACATCTATGTACCAAGTGTCATTGAAATGTGATGATTACTACTTGAAATATCAAAAGCTGAAAATAAATTAATTATGCAAATTAGCTAATTAATATATACTGATATTACACTAAAAACTATCAGGTTTGTGCAGTGCCCTATGACATCTATGTACCAAGTTTTATTGAAATGTGATGATTAGTACTTGAGATATCAGTGGAAAAGCCGAAAATTGATTAATCATTATGCAAATTAG